ATTGAGTTATATGATAGCATGAGATTGCTTATTGAGTATATGATAGCATGAGATTTCTTATTTAGTTATATGATAGCATGAGATTGCTTATTGAGTATATGATAGCATGAGATTGCATCTTGAGTATATGATAGCACGAGATTGATTATTTTGTATATGTTAGCATGAGATTGCATATTGAGTTATGTGTTAGCATGAGATTGCTTACTGAGATATATGTTGATATAAGATTATTGTTAAGTTAAGTATGTGAAGGTATGAGATTGCTGATAAGCTAAGTAATTGAGAAAGTAGGCCTATTCATAATTAGGTTGCAAGCATATAGAAACCCTGTTGAGCATGCTTAATTGTTGCTTAAGTGATTGAGAATACTCAATCTAAGTATGTGAAACAAATGTTTTCCAAAAGTATATACTGTACTATTTTACAGGGTTGAGTGGCGTTATACTTAGCTTCGTGCTAACGGGTTTGTTTTCTACTTGTTGTTTGTTAACCCCTTTCAGGTGGACCCAGTTCGTGAGAGAGTATGAGTTAGACTCGATTAGCATAGATAGCTAGTTGTAGTATAAACTCTTGATGGTTGTTTTTTAGACTTGTAGTTGACTTTCCCGTTTGTTTTGATGGTGCTGGACACCGGGGTCTTATCCCCTAGTTTGTTTTAATGTTAGTAAGACTTGAATGGTTTAGCTTGTTTGACCTTTGCCTGTGCAATTACTGTGAAGGGTGATTGTGGCAGTGACACCACTATTAAGTTTGTTTAGTATGTTACTTCGCTTGATTAGTTTATCTTTCATGGTTAAGTTTGTTAATTGGGTTTAAGAAAAGTGGGTGTTATAAGTTGGTATCAGAGCGATACGAACCGCGGGAGACTTAGGAAGTTTGACCCTTAAGATTGAGTATAGAAACCCTAAGTTGAATCCTAGGAAGGAAAAGTTAAGAAGAGAACTCTAAATGAAATCCTAGGAAGGATAAGTTAAACAAAGAGCCCTAAGTTATGAAATTTGAGATGAGAAAGACTCTAAGTTCAGTGACTAAGTATGAGTATCAATTAGGAACGCGGTGAGGTTGTGAGTTTCCTTACGCTTGCTTAACTGTTTATGTGCTTTATCAATGTGTTTAAAGTGCAACTTGCTTATCTTTTGAAAGTAGAGAAATTGAAAGTGAAAAACCAAGAGTTTGAAAGTTGAAAGTAGAAATGAAAGCTGAAAGTGAAAAGCTAAGAAAGCTAGAAGTTGAGACTTCGATAGTTAAAATAGAAAGCAAAAATTAGAAGTTAAAGTTTGAAAGAAGAACTTTGTGAAGTTGTTAAAAGTAAGAAGTATACAAGTTTATACTTATGTTTGTTTGTGTGCTTTACTTGTTGTAAGCCTTACTTTAAGAATAGAAAAGTTAGAAACAGTTAACTCATAGAAGTACTAACCAAGATGATCTGTTCTGATCTTGTTAAAGGACTATCGTGATGCCACCGTGAAGAGTTAGAGAAGAGACTCCTCGTTTCTCGGGACCAGGAGCATCATCGTCCACTGATCTGACCGAGAGCTTACGCTAGCTTACGTAGCTGACTAAGACAATAGGAGCCGCCGTGCTAAATGGGAACAATAACGGTGGAGATGTGTCTAGAAAGATCACGGGATGCAACCCACCGAGCTACTTGGGCCAGGAGGACCCCGAGATCCTTTAGAGTTGGATCTGTACGTTTGACAAGCTGTTCGACGTAGTAGGCTGTCCGGTAGACCAGCGAATAAAGGTCGCTGTGTACTATCTTCAAGAAGAAGCCGATCACTGGTGGGTAATGGAAGGACCGATCTTTAAGGAAAGAGAAGGTTTCAATTGGGAGATGTTCAAGAAACTGTGGAGAGAGAGGTTCTACGCCATTAGATCGAGGTTTGTCCTCTACCCAAAAAAGTAAAAAAAATCGCACACTCTATTCTCTAAGGGCCGGCATGGGACCTGATCTCGCTAGCTACCCGATGGAAGGGCGCTTTCTTGGCCAAGCTCATGGCTTGGCCACGAAAATACTATCCCCTAAGGGCTGGCACGAGATCCGATCTCGCTAGCTACCCAACGGAAGAGCGTTTTTGTAACACCCCCAAAACAAGCTAGATAAAAAGCCTTAACACATGCAGATCAAACAACAAAACTAGCACATCGGAAGATAAAACGAGAACTGGACAAAAGAAATCCAAACGGGGTGTTACGCCACGTCTACCACACACGGTAAACGCTACGGCGATCAATCTGCAAGTGTATACATCTATCCCAAAGACATCAGTCTAAAACTACATTGGCACACAGGCCACAAAACAAGGATAGAGGTACTAAGCTACCAGGCACTAGACATCGCGCTCGTCTAAACATCACCTGAAAGATACAAAGATAAACATTGGGACGGCGCCCGGTCAGTGATAATTGCTAGTAACCCACCAATACATGTGAAATATCATACATAGATAGATATAAGTGGTAAAACCATTTTCGAAACGGAATACATAAGTATATAAGTCAAAAACCAAGATCAACAGTCAACACAAGACTCATTACTCACAAGGATAACACGGGAACACATCCCAAACCACAAATGCTAAACACAACGCAAAGGATAAAGACAAGACCGATGGCAACACATGCCTCCATGACTACACATGTCACGAGAGAAGAACACACAACACCGACTACACAAGCCCTCGCAACATCACCCATCACGAGTTGTTATGCCTTCCTTATGCCCTGTTCCAACCTTATGGCTACCCCCAACCTTATATCTTCTTCAAACCATTACCTCCAGGACCCCTATACTTCTTAGTCCAACCTTATTCCCCCGGGACCGTCGTCCCCCACCAACGAGACCACCAATTCATAGTACACAAGGTACCGTACACGGCAACACATGCCCGGATAACACATGTTATCCCCCAAAAACGTGAACCTTACACAAAGCCCACAACTCCATAATCACGTCACGGCCACCACGAGGACCGCTGCAATACCTTAGTGACTAGTGTCCCAAACCACTAATCGTGCAATCCAGGTAAAGCCACACACGCACCACAACTCAACAAGAGTCAAACAACGGATCACAACGAAGGTATGAAACATACTCAATCAAGGAACGGGTCACAGCTCAACACATCAACGATGAATAACACAAGTTATAATCAACCAAATGGAAGGTACAGACAACACACACGCTAGCATTTAGACAACAAACTAGCATGCTTATCAACGGGGAAACTCAAGATAGTTCCGAGGAACACACAAGACACCTCTTAGTCCAACGAAACAAAATGTTGAACACTTAGCACGATTCAAGACACCAAAGTCCTACATGGATACCTACCATATAGTTCTAGATATATGAAACATCAAGAAGACACTCAAATAGTTCCACAAAAGAACATCGGGAAGTCAAAAGACCAAATACCGAGTCAAACGGATCACGGGGAACAAATCCCGAACAAACTCCACCATGTACCCGCGGGTGGACCCACGGGTAGTGCCCCACCTGTGGTTCCGCCCGCGGGAACATATTCCCACAGGGCTTTGTACCCGCGGGTAAGCCGGCGGGAGGTGTCCCGCCCGCGGGAACACTCCTGTTCCACAACAAATCCCTTCGGGGATTTTCTTCTCCAAACACAAATTCAAGTCCAAAACATGCCAAATCTCACCAAACACAAAAAAATGACTTGAATCATGGAAAATGCCAAGCAATGGCACAAAGGAACCCTAAACACAAGCTCTAGATATGCAATATCACAAGACAAATGCATAAACCCTCACATTTCATAGCAAAACACAAGTAAAATCCAAGAAATCACATATAGGTAAACAAAATAGGTTTTGTAGAGCATGGGTTACCTTTTGTAGACCAAAAGACTTCACTTTACACCACAACAAGCTCCCCACAAGGCTTACTTTCCAAACCCACTTCAAGATCAAACCAAAAGATCATAAAGATCCTACCTTTAAGAAAAAGACAACTAAGATGAAACCAAAAACACAAGATGAACTTAGATCTTACCCTCCTAGATGCCCAAATAGGTGAAAGGTTGAATCTTGGAAGCAAATCTTGGAATCTTGACAAGGGTCTCAACTTGGCTTGGAGAATAAGCTACACTTCTTTTCTACAGAGAAGGTAGAGCTAATTTCTAGGAATTGTAAGGAATGAAATGAAGAAGTCTTCTAGGTTAGGTTACAATACTAACTCTTGGTGAAAAGTCAAGAATACCCTTACTAACCTTTAGAAAGTGTAAGGAACAAGGGAACTCCCCTCAAAGCTTAAGGTACAACATAGCTTTGAAGTTGACTAGTCAAATACTAGTCCTCGAGTATTAAAAATCAGGATTTTAGGAATTAATTCTTCAAATAAAATAGGATTAATTACTCAATTTATCCATGGATTGAATGTGGATTTTTGGGGTGTCACATCCTCTCCCCCTTCAAAGACGCTTCGTCCCCGAAGCTTGGGTACGACGAATTAGAAGCAAACGGTGAAAGGAAACAACATTGTGATAAGAAATTCAAGAATAACTCTTTTGGTCAAAGACTCCAAAAGAACTCACAAGGATTCCAAAGCAAAGAAGTATTTCAAAGCAAGAAAGAAGGCATAGCAATTCAAGAATTGTCAAGAACATGTCAAAGGAGAAGATTGAGCATCACAAACTCTGTTCTCAACACCACCATCTACTTCTACCAAACACTAAGAACAAGACAACCAACACAAAACATATCTACCACTACGAAACTAACTAAGCCACAAGGCTATAAACAAAACAGGCAACAACAAGTAACCCAACAATGGCAACAACGCCTAAAGAAAAACAACTACAAGAAAAAGGCGAACAAGGTAACCACAACTACTAGAAAGACTCGCTCTCCGACTCCTCGGACTCTTCCTCGGCTTCTCCTTGATGACTCGAGCTGGCTTCGATCTGATCTAGCCGATGGTGCATTGCAACGAACTGCGTCCTCATGAAAGCAAAACCCTCCTCTACGGCTCGAACTGGCCTCAAGCTGGTCCAACCTCTGGTTAACCGCGACGGACAGCGTCTTCATAACAGCGAAGCAACTAAACCAACTACCCAAACTACAAGCTAACACCCACGACAAACAAAAGAGAACAACTAAGCACAACCGAAAAATGACAATAACAGAGTGGCAATAGCAAACGAAGGAAGAAACGAGTTACCACAACAAAACGGTCGGCTTGCGAAACGGGTGACAAAGCTCAAGAGATCGGTTGCAAACGAGGTTTCAAGCAACAAAGGTATTCGCCACTAACCAGAGTAGAGGAAACAAGGGTTCGAATTAAGGGGGTAAGAATAGTAGGCTTGGACACAACGAATTTCGACACCAAAACCAACGGTTAACAAAATGAGAGACAAGACTTAGAGATAGGTTGAAGTTTCACAAAGGTAAGACAAGAAAGGAAGATAAGATGATAGATAAAAGATTTACCGGAAAGGAAAGCTAACTTCACACCGAGCCTAACTCCTGCTCAAAACTAGCCAACGATCTACTCAAAATGAAACGACTCAGCTAAGGAACAAGCCACAAACAGAAACTGACACCACAAGAACCCTAAACAAGATCACTCGGGATCACAGAACCAGGGTTGCATCTTCAACCGATCTTTGCTGACTTCTTCAACCAAAGGAAACAAGGTACTCCTACTACTTAACTTGAGCTCGGCATCTGTGTGAACTTGATCCGTCACTGCCGACAAAAACTTCAACTGCTAGATCCAAAACATGAGCAAGATGTCTCTCTCCCTAGCTCTAGGGTGAACTTGATGCAGCCTGCCAACTTAACACTTGCATTAGCACACCACTTCCAACTCTCCACCAAGCAACGCTTGAAACTACAAAACTTCCGGTCCGGATGAAAGGTTCAAAACAAGAACGGTAACAAAGGAGAAAGGTAACTCAGGGGAAAGACGACTCACAAGAAGAGATGCGGTTCAACGGTAAGGATTAGAGCGAAAGGTTGGAGTTCAGAAACTCAAGGACCACGTTACTTAGGAGTAGGATCAAAGTTATCAAAGTTGCAACTTAGGAAATAAGGTTGCCACCTTGCACAGAATCGTTAGAAGTGGGGAATCCAAGAACGAGGTTTGATTCAAAGGGAAAGATCAAGGTGAGAATTTAGGTTCCAAAACTCGAGGACCATGTTGATTAAGAAGAGAAGAAATGTAAATAGGACTACAACTTAAGAAGTAAGGAATCAAAATGGGGTTCTGGGGAGTTGAAAGAATTTCCTCACAGAGGATATCTGATTTTAACTCTAGGATAGCGATAACTAGGAAGGGAGTTAAGATTCTCAAAGTCACAACTTTGGAAAGACGAGGTCGTAACCTTGGACAGAGTCAAATCAAGAGAGGAACAAGAATGAGGTTTGAAAGGATTTCCCAATGAAGGGTACTAGATTTGGGGTCAAAGATAGCGTAAATTTAGAAAGGAAATCAAGATTTTCAAGGTTACAACTTAGGAAAACGAGGTTGTCACCCTGTACAGAATCAAATTAAGAAGGAAACAGGGACGAGGTTCGGAAAGATAGAAAGGATTTCTCGGGAAAAGACATTTTGTTTGATAAGGGAAGGAGAAGGAAACGGCTCAAAAAGGGTTAAGGATTCTCGACTTCGGGCGACTTCTTCGACTTAACGCTTCGATCGCTGCACTCTTGATGAACTTGAAGGCTCTCTACCTTGACTCAGACGCAGCTAAACTCTTAGACCTTGCCAGATTTCTTCATAAGCTGATGACACTGCCGCCTTGCACAAGATGGGTCGGAAAGAAAACAAGGACAAGGTTCGGAAGGAAGAATCACTTGCCAAAAAGGGTGATAGGGTTCGTCTAAGGGGAAAGGAAAGATTAACGAGGGTCAAGGGTAACCCTCAAACAAGCTAACGCCCGAAACTAACACGCAGGGAAATGGCACAAAGACGAAGGAAGGGTGCAACAAAAGGTACAAGAGCTTACTTCAACGGTTCCTACTTGCATCTGTCTCACAACTATTGATCTTGCCTTGCTGAGGTTGTTGTTGAGTCCGTTGAAGTCTTCCTCTTAGCCTTGCACTCAAAGAACCGATGACCTTTCTTGCCACAAGCAAAACACTCTATCGGTTTCCTAAGACAGACGGCGCCGGGGTGGTCACTTCCACACTCCTTGCAAACGGAGCGCCTTCCCTTAACCTTGATTTTCCGGATTGGCCGGAGAGTCCTACTTCTCTTAGAGCCATCTCTTTGAAACTTGCTGTAGATTCGGCATCGGTAGCCATCAAACTACTAACCACGGTTGAGACACTTCCGTCAAGCTTCCTCTTACGGTTCTCCCAGATTCCTTTCTGAACTTGCTGAACTCGGTAGGGGTCGGTTGCACAAAGGTAGGCCTCCTTGACATGAGCAGGGCAGAACCACGCACGTAACTTAACCTTCAGGTCCTCCCAACTGAACTCCGGATCTTTTCTACAAGCCGGCCCTTCAAGCATCCACCACGAGCTTGCTTCTTGCCGAAGATAGAACGCAGCCAACTCCACCTGACGATCCTCCGGGCAAAACACAGATTCGAAGATCTTGCATGACGTCTCGATGATGCCACCCTTGACTTCCACAGCAACAACACGATAACGGGAAAGACTTAGGGCTCGCACCCTTACCTGGTGCCTTAACTAAAGAGAACCAAAGCTAAAAGGAGAACAAGCACAGAAAGCACAACAGAAAACGACACAAGAACTCACAACCTCACCGCGCAACCTAAGCCTAACACTTAGATTCTTAAGGTTGCTTAAAGGTCTCAAACCACGCTTAGCCACTTAGAAAGTCTAGACTTAACCCTTCCTAGGCTCAAAACCTAGGCTCTAATACCAACTGTAACACCCCCCCCCCCAAAACAAGCTAGATAAAAAGCCTTAACACATGCAGATCAAACAACAAAACTAGCACAACGGAAGAAAAAACGAGAACTGGACAAAAGAAATCCAAACGGGGTGTTACGCCACGTCTACCACACACGGTAAACGCTACGACGATCAATCTGCAAGTGTATACATCTATCCCAAAGACATTAGCCTAAAACTACATTGGCACACAGGACACAAAACAAGGAGAGAGGTACTAAGCTACCAGGCACTAGACATCGCGCTCGTCTAAACATCACCTGAAAGATACAAAGATAAACATTGGGACGGCGCCCGGTCAGCGGTAATTGCTAGTAACCCACCAATACATGTGAAATATCATACATAGATAGATATAAGCGGTAAAACCATTTTCGAAACGGAATACATAAGTATATAAGTCAAAAACCAAGATCAACAGTCAACACAAGACTCATCACTCACAAGGATAACACGGGAACACATCCCAAACCACAAAGGTTAAACACAACGCAAAGGATAAAGACAAGACCGATGGCAACACATGCCAAAGCAACACATGCCTCCGTGACTACACACGTCACGAGAGAAGAACACACAACACCGGCTACACAAGCCCTCGCAACATCACCCATCACAAGTTGTTATGCCTTCCTTATGCCCTGTTCCAACCTTATGGCTACCCCCAACCTTATATCTTCTTCCAACCATTACCTCCAGGACCCCTGTACTTCTTAGTCCAACCTTATTCCCCCGGGACCGTCGTCCCCCACCAACGACCACCAACGAGACCACCAATTCATAGTACACAAGGTACCGTACACGGTAACACATGCCCGGATAACACATGTTATCCCCCAAAAACGTGAACCTTACACAAAGGCCACAACTTCATAAACACGTCACGGCCACCACGAGGACCGCTGCAATACCTTGGTGACTAGTGTCCCATACCACTAATCATGCAATCCAGGTAAAGCCACACACGCACCACAACTCAACAAGAGTCAAACAACGGATCACAACGAAGGTATGAAACATACTCAATCAAGGAACGGGTCACAGCTCAACACATCAACGATGAATAACACAAGTTATAATCAACCATATGGAAGGTACAGACAACACACACGCTAGCATTTAGACAACAAACTAGCATGCTTATCAACGGGGAAACTCAAGATAGTTCCGAGGAACACACAAGACACCTCTTAGTCCAACGAAACAAAATGTTGAACACTTAGCACGATTCAAGACACCAAAGTCCTACATGGATACCTACCATATAGTTCTAGATATACGAAACATCAAGAAGACACTCAAATAGTTCCACAAAAGAACATCGCGAAGTCAAAAGACCAAATACCGAGTCAAACGGATCACGGGGAACAAATCCCGAACAAACTCCACCATGTACCCGCGGGTGGACCCACGGGTAGTGCCCCACCTGTGGTTCCGCCCGCGGGAACATATTCCCACAGGGCTTTGTACCCGCGGGTAGGCCGGCGGGAGGTGTCCCGCCCGCGGGAACACTCCTGTTCCACAACAAATCCCTTCGGGGATTTTCTTCTCCAAACACAAATTCAAGTCCAAAACATGCCAAATCTCACCAAACACAAAAAAATGACTTGAATCATGGAAAATGCCAAGCAATGGCACAAAGGAACCCTAAACACAAGCTCTAGATATGCAATATCACAAGACAAATGCATAAACCCTCACATTTCATAGCAAAACACAAGTAAAATCCAAGAAATCACATATAGGTAAACAAAATAGGTTTTGTAGAGCATGGGTTACCTTTTGTAGACCAAAAGACTTCACTTTACACCACAACAAGCTCCCCACAAGGCTTACTTTCCAAACCCACTTCAAGATTAAACCAAAAGATCATAAAGATCCTACCTTTAAGAAAAAGACAACTAAGATGAAACCAAAAACACAAGATGAACTTAGATCTTACCCTCCTAGATGCCCAAATAGGTGAAAGGTTGAATCTTGGAAGCAAATCTTGGAATCTTGACAAGGGTCTCAACTTGGCTTGGAGAATAAGCAACACTTCTTTTCTAGAGAGAAGGTAGAGCTAATTTCTAGGAATAGTAAGGAACGAAATGAAGAAGTCTTCTAGGTTAGGTTACAATACTAACTCTTGGTGAAAAGTTAAGAATACCATTACTAACCTTTAGAAAGTGTAAGGAACAAGGGAACTCCCCTCAAAGCTCAAGGTACAACATAGCTTTGAAGTTGACTAGTCAAATACTAGTCCTCGAGTATTAAAAATTAGGATTTTAGGAATTAATTCTTCAAATAAAATAGGATTAATTACTCAATTAATCCATGGATTGAATGTGGATTTTTGGGGTGTCACAGTTTTCTAGATCAAGTTCAAAGCTTGGTCACGAAAATTTTGTCCCCTAAAGACTAGTACGAAGTCTGACCTTGCTTAATATCCTACGGAAGAGCCGGCCTTTGACCGAGCCTATGACCGGTCGAAGTCAGCTATGTACACACTGAAAAAAATATATAAATAAATATTATAATAATAAAATAAAATAACGCAAAAAAAAATAACAAAAACAATCAAAAAAAATTAAAAAGAATAAAAAATCCGATATGATACACAAGGTCCACACCTCGACATAAAACAGCCACAAGGAGTATCAGCTTGGATGGTGCTCATTGGATCAGTGCGCCATAGAAGCATGCACCTCAAAGACGCACGTGTTTGTGCACGACATTGACAGAGACGTCGAGAGACTTACCCGTGAGAGATTTTGCCAGAACCGGGCACCGCCTCGGCTACCATGGCCGAGGACTGGCTCGACCCATCAACTTTGGTGTTTGTGGTCAATGCTCTTTCTGTTCTTCAAGCAATGGAAGGTGAAGATGAAGCGATAAAACGCTATACTCAAGTCATTTCGAAAGCTCTCAATAGCCCCTTCCTATCAGTCAAAGAAGACAAACATGTAGTCATCATGGACTACCTTACCATTTGCCAAGTGCTGATAGGTATCCTGGCCATGGGCACCCAATTGATTGGCGAATTCCAATGAGTGATTCATGTGGACCTTCATTGCATGCTTGAGATTATACTAATCCTATCTTGGGAGATGAAGCACAATGTTATGGGAGGCCAGATTGGGACCAATATACAACCATGTGAAGGAGTCGGAGTTGGGAGATAAATGAAATGTGGAAGAAGCCAAATGGGAGTGCGAGTGTGGATCGGAGCCACCTTCTGCTTCTAAGAAGGAGGATAGTTCAGCTCAGGGCCTGGGAGATGATACTTTGATTGGTCAGTCACCTTTGCAAGTTCAGAGTGAGCAAAGGCAGCCTGATCTTGAGGTTGAGAGTAAGGCTATTAGTTAGTCAAGTGAAGCTGTTGGAGAAGAATACTGCAGAAGGTTCAAAGACGTTCGGGAAAGAGGCATCTAGTCAATCTAAGTTATCGATAAGGCATGGCCCTCATTATTGCCATGTTTATCTCTCCAGGCTTGATATTTTTGCAGATCTTACTGAACCTGAGTTGTATAATCAATGTGCAGGCCTATTACTTGCCAATTAGAACATGATAATATAACTGATGATGCTTCAAAAATCTTGTTTGTGGAGGCTGTAGGAGCTAGGTTATCAGATCAAAACCTAGTAAAATTTCAAGTGCTTCATTTTTGGCTGCCATGAGTGATTCTGTATTTCAGAAATCCATATCCCTTTACAAAAAGGAGAGACAATAAATCAAAGACACAAGTGGTGAGAAAGTCTTATATTCTAATCTGCAGAGTGAATCCTTTCCTACATCTGAACAGGAAAAGTCTGGTTCTAGGATAGTATAGATATGGAGTTGAATCAAGATAGTAATGTGCCAAAGACTAAAGAAGCGTTGCGTCGGACAAAGGTTTCACATCCACCATTATCTATATCCCTGTTGGTGATGGCTATGCTGCTGTGTTTGTCTTCGGCGTTTTCTCTAAAGGCCATATTCGTCATGCTGCTCGGACCTCCTCAGCTCCTGGGGCAAACTATTTGCATACGTTTTCAAGACCCGAGGCTCGCAATCTTCAGCTCGCTGCTAAGGACTCCTCTTCAGCACCCGATGCTCATAATTTTAAGAACGCTGCTAAGGATTCCTCTCCATCTTCAATGCGTGATGCATAGCATAGGTATCTTGCAGACAGGGATTCCTCTTAGTAATCACTATAAAAAATAAAAATAAAAAAAGTTTTCCGAGGCCCTGCCTCGGCTAGGCCAAAACAGGCCGAGCCCCGCCTCAGCCATGATGTGAAAAAAAAATAAATTTAAAATTAAAAAAAATAATAGAATAAAATAAAAGACAAAGAGCTAGTAGAGGGATGGTGTCGGGATATTTCATGATTTTACACTATTATTACTCCCTTGTTGACTCCGCTATGCTCTCAGCTCGGGAGTTGGGGGGCTGATGACATGATAATTGGACAACGTACTTGGATCCTACCCGCACTTAGTTTTATCTACAAAGCAGTGGTGATAGTCAAACTGTAACGGTCAAGAAGCCATTGAGAGCACCGTCTCATCAAAGAGGATTTAAGAAGGAGCGCGCACAACAATTACAGAGGAGACCGACACTTATGATGAGGAGCCTTTGTACTTATTAGGAGGTCGTTAGTGCCTTTATTGTAGCCGTTACAATTGTACAGTATAAAAGCTGAGCCCATGTAGCATGTAAGGGCACACACTCTGATTTCTAGACTGAAACACTTAGCAATACAACTATTGTACTTCTTCATAATATTATCCCGTAACATATTTACCGTCACGTGGCAAATTTTTATGTAGACTATGGTCCACACAGCGTTGTGTGGACCATAAAAATACATTTTTAATATACTAAAAGTACAATATTTGTGTACTAAATGTATATTATACAAAATAGTGTATTTTTAGTACTCAAATAATGTACTTTTCATAAATAAAAGGTACATTTTTAATATACTAAAAGTACATTATTTGTTTATTGAATGTACATTATTTGATACTCCGTAGTATACAAAATAATATACTTTCAGTACTTTCAATACTCAAATAATGTACTTTATGTACAGAAATAATGTACTTTTTATTTATGGTCTAGAAAACTGTGTGGACCATGATGCATGCAAATATTCAATAACGACTCTATAATTGTATCTCGCTTTTTTTTCTTTTTTTTTTTTTTGTAAATAATAATTTTCAATGTGGGACATTTTAGTAACAAGGCATCATTCTAACGTATGGGTAACCTCAGTCAATAGTTGGCTTAGAGCATTCACAGCAGTTTTGTTTTATGGTGCTTTTTGAGGTGCCAAATAAAAGAGAGAAGGAAAAGAGAAGAAGGAAAAAAAAAAGGAAAAAACAATGATTCTTAGGCAAAAAAAATAAAAGAAAAAGGGTATTAACACGCCCAGAGGCGCGTGCCGCGCAATAGTGCTTTTCACGCACCAACAAGGAAAGCTTATAAGAAAAAAAATAAATATTAGTGGAGCCCACAAAAAACTAAACTACCGCAAATTTATTTCCTTCTCTCCTCTCTCCTCCACATAACAAGCTCTCTCCTCTATGTCATATTAAAAAAGATCCACTAAAATGCATTAGTGTAAATGTTCTTAGTAACTAGGTTCAAAGTGAGATATATATTGACCTTCTTGGTTTGAACCGATCAATTATGGTCAACCTAAGCTAGTTTACCTCATTGTGGTCATTTGACAGCTAGAATCGCAAGGTGACCTTCACCCAGAGTGCACCATCAAGTAGTGATTGAGCTCTTTCAGATAAACAAAAAGGGACCAATCCTAACAAAGTTGGTTGGACAATTAGTTAATTTGATAACCACAAAGTTCTAAGTGAACTGTCTATTGACTTTATTGGTTTGAACAGATCAAATATGTGCAACCTAGATTTGTTTGTCCTTTGCCAAAAGGCAGACTTCACTCAATGGGCATCTTCGAATAACTACGAACTTTGTTGTTAATCAAAAGAAACATAATGACAAAATGGGGAAAAAAAATGCAAATTAATTAAATTTCATCTCCAATAGATATGATAAAAAAGGAAATTTTTGTCGATCCTAAATAGTGTTGCGCCAAATATAGCACAACACTATTCATCTACCCTATTTTTTAATTTTTTTTTTTATATTCTTGACCCTATTCTCTTTTTTTTTTTTGTTAATTCATTTTGTATCCTTTTATATGTATTTATATATTTTTAAATACTTATACATAAATTTTATATTATTAAATATAAATTACATCGTTTGAAAGATCTCATCAAAACAATTAAAACAAGACTAATATTCAATATAGATTAATTAAAAATTAAATTACATAAAATATAATTTATACTATACTATATATAAAAACAAAATCCTGAACTTTAATTCCCACTCAATTCCTAAAAAATCTCGCTTTCTAATAAAATATATTGTTTTCTACTTTCCTATTCGTACTATAATTCTAGGTTAAAATTTCTATTCTTTCCAAAAGGTTGAACCTCAACCCTAAGGGCCCCCAAGGAGCCCCCCTCCCGTTGAGAGGTTACTCCCACACTGCCGCTGGTGAGACTTGATCCCTGTTCATTCTTTCCTCTATGACTAATTGAGCTACCCATGCGGGCTTAAAATTCCTATTCTAATATTATAAAATAGTGTAATACAATTCCTAATACTCTAATAGAATATATTGTTCACTACTTTCCTATTGGTATTATAATTCTACATTAAAATTCATATTCATAATATAACAGGACAATATATTCTATCTGGCACTACAAATACTCCATGCGTAAATATATAACTGATGTGGAATCAACTTTGATCCCACATCGTTATTGAATGAAGAGGAGCTCAAAGATCTCCTCTATATAAGAGGAGCATTTGCTCCCTTAATGATTTATGAAACAATTTGCTTACCCATCACTGTTGGGCAAGCATTGATAGCCTAAAAGGCTCCTTCAATTCCTTCATTGAAGGAGCCTTTAATGGCTTCAGTTAAAAGTTTTGTTTTTGTTTTTTAAATATAATAGAAGGGCAAAAGGTTATTTTTTTTCAAATTGCCAAATTGAAATGCTGCAAAATGTAGCATTTCAGTTTTCTTTGGAACAAACTGTTGCTCCAAACTGTTAGAAGAACCAAACAACTTTTTTGATTTTTTGTCTTCGGTCAAAATGTCAAAATGGCGGATCTGTCAAATAAATAAAAATAAAAAATATATAATTTTCTTTGATCATATTTAAAAATTGCACATGCAGTAATTAAGATTACATTAAATAGTTTGAGTACATCAAATAATCGATAATTTTATTATTACAGTTATAGATTAATTATTTATGACGGAAAAATGATATGATTTGAGCACAAATTAACTATTATCTAATGAATTGGTACAACAAATGACTATTACAACAAGTTTTATGAATGGCAAGTAATATATTATAATCTCATTTGTATTACAAAATTAATAGTATATATTGACTAAAAGTTTATATGGAAATTAATTAATATATTAGAACTGAGTTGAAATTTTTCATATAAAATTTTGTAATATATTAATGTGTACTTAAAATGGAAAAATGGAAAATTCCAACATTTTTTTTCCAATTCATTAGATATTAGTTAATTTTCATATAAAATTTTGTTACAAATTAAGCTTTATTAATTTTTTTTACCAATTAATTAATATTCATATTAGTATAGATTAGTGTACGGTAAGTAATATATTATAATCCCATTTATATTACAAAATCAATACTCCATATTGACTAAAATTT